CGCTAAACGCTACCTGGAAAAGCTAAGTAAGACTTGGCTTAAGGGCACAGCATGGGTGTGGGTATGGCGCGAAAAGCCAGGATCAAACCCAGGTCTGGAAGCGGGCAGCTGTTGTGTGTTGCGGCCTCCCGGGCGTTAAAGCCCTGCAGGAACCACGGGAAGCGCTCCCCCGCACCGACTGTCCGCATATCTGATTTATTTTTCCTTCTGGCTATTATTTATCGGCGCTAGCAAGAAATCCCTACCTAAATTTCTGATCGCCCAGTTTCCACCCCCCTCTCAAACCCTCACCTGGCCATCATCATTCTCTCTCTCTCTCTCTTACCTCCTCACTCCAAAAGTTCTTTACCAGTTTCACCTACATCCTATATCCACAATGAGTTTCCAAGCTGGAGGTCGTGGCTGCTTCAACTGTGAGTCCCTCCCCCCGCTCTGTTCCGTCGATGGTCAAACCTGTGCCCTTCGATTCTGTCATGCACCTTGTGTGCCTCCATTCCCGCAGCTCCAGCCGAGAGAGGGAAAAAAAAGTTTCCTTGATTACCATGATATGATTTCCCATCATCCACCGAGTTTTGCTTTATGTCCTCAGTTAAAAGCTGAGATCTTTTGACCTTCCATGACCATCTATCCGTCCCCATTTCTCTCATAGCGAATGATCCTGTCGTCTTAGCGCGGTGGTTACCATCCCTGGCGAAGCGAATCTCTGGATTGGTACGGAAAAGCTAACAAGAAATCTTCATTCATTTTAGGCGGTGATGCTTCCCACCAGGTAAACCTTTCCCTGTCACCATCGTCTCCTCAGAGCATCCTCAGTCAGCTTTTTTTTTTTTTTCTTTCTTTCTGGGGTTGTGCCTATAATCATGGTTTGGCAACGTTCTAATCTCTACAGGCCCGTGACTGTCCCAAGAAGGGCACTCCCACCTGGTATGCTTAACTTGCACTGTCCATTTTCCTCTTGTTGTAAACATTATTGACTAAACTCGATAGCTACAACTGTGGTGGTATGTCTCCCGACCTTGTCTCCTCTACATTAGTGTCCAATCTCCCTATCCCTTCTCGTTCACTGGCCTATTTTCATTGCGCCTTTTTCCGTTGATCATCAGCCACTCTATCTAACCGCACCTTGGTACCATTACAGGACAGGGACACGTCAGTAAGTCAAACCAGCGAATTCTCCAGTTGCTTCTCCGTCTTTTCATTATGCTTTTTCCTTTTTCTTTCGGAGATGCTAAGAAGCCTATCATCCAGGCCGTGAATGCACTGTAGCTCCCAAGGAGAAGTCCTGCTACCGCTGCGGTGGTGTGGGCCACATCTCCCGCGAGTGCCAGGCTAGCCCCGCCGAGGGTTTCGGTGCTGCTGCTGGTGGTGGCCAGGAGTGCTACAAGTGCGGCCGTGTCGGTCACATTGCTAGGAATTGCCCTCAGAGCGGCGGCTACAGTGGTGGCTTTGGCGGTCGTCAGCAGACTTGCTACTCTTGCGGTGGTTTCGGACACATGGCTCGCGACTGCACCAATGGTCAGAAGTGCTACAACTGTAGGTTACCGCTCCCTTCACAATCCCTCAGGTTCAGACACGCTAACAATATGCTTCTAGGCGGTGAGGTTGGCCACGTCTCTCGCGACTGCCCTACGGAGGCCAAGGGCGAGCGGGTGTGCTACAACTGCAAGCAGCCTGGCCACGTCCAGGCCGCTTGCCCTAACTAATTAGTTGATCTGCATGCTGCATCGTTTGTCTTCTGTCGCGCTATCATACGCGAGACCAGGATATCGGGATGACCTTTATCGCGCTCACCGTGATGATCTACAATCTCTTTACCCCGTTTTCTCTGGTCTAATGCACGACTTGGCTTGCGAGCCTGTCTCTGATTGACTTCCTCCGCCGGCTGACAAAGATATCCAAAATGATATCCAGTTATCATGGAATCACACGGATGAAGTCCGGTGTTCCAAACAATAAAAGCGGGAGAATCAGTTTGCAAGACTGATAAGTGGTGGCCTGGGTTTGCGGGTGGGCAAACATGTGAAATCTTGTGTAATGCGGAAGAAAACTTGTCCACAAAACTAGCATATGAAAGCAATCTCAATTCCACGGTTCCATCTTAGTCGGGCCTTTGCCTGCTCGGCCTAGCCCTCCAGGGAAACGTTGCGGGAGTATTCTTTATCTGTCAGAGAGGGTGGAAACAATCTTTTTTTTTTTTGTGATCATTTTCAGTACTCCGTAGCATCAGCATACTTGCAGTAGAACTTCCATTGATTTAAGCACCCAAATGCGAACATTAATCTATCGGTCGCGGATTATGGAAATACGATCATTCAAACGGACGTTCAAGAACTGCAGCTGCACATCATGGCTCTCTTGAAGCGAGGGACATCCCCACAAAAGCGTTCCTCTTCATCATGATTCTGCCCCCATTCTTCATTGAAGGGATTAAGTGCCATATGCATCACCCTTCCGAGTACTTCTCGGTCTCCGCGGCGTTCAACACGCTCAATAACTTCATCGAGGATCCAGCCTCGAGGCAAAAACTATAAAGACATATCCACCCATTAGTGTTGTGACGGGCCAGCAGCGAAACCGGTAATGATAGGCTTACCTTTGGGTTTGTATTCTTCATGATCTTTTGTCTTTCCATGTCTTGATCAACGCCCCAGTCTTCTATAATGCGTTGTCTCCACTTGTCAAGCCAATCTCCGACTCGTTGCCTCGCGGAATCCTCGGTGTATCCAATGCCACCATGCCCTTCGTTGTGAAAGAAGATAGACGCTATTTTCTCTCTCATCTCTTTGGTCTCTATATCCGACAGCGATACGCTTGACAGTCTCCGGAAAAAGTGGTTGAAGTCTAATTCCAAAGCCTCCAATGTATCGAGAAGTTCAGAGAACAATACTTGAAAGTCAGTTTCCTTCTGGCTCCGCAAGCCTAACCTGTTGCTCATGAGGCGTTTGTATTCGTTCAGGAAAACCATCCTGAACTCCTTGCCTGTTCGGTCAATGACCTTCTCCGCACGTTGGATAATGGCAGGCGCAACTTCCTCTGTTACACCATCCTTCACAAACTCTTCTTTATCAACGTCTTCACCTGCACCAATGAGTTCCCCGAGTGACTCGCCGAGCCTAACCAGATTCCACCAGATAATGGTAGGTTGGTTCTTGTAACAATATCTTAGGAGGTGATCATCATGGTTAGGTGTGTACTGAGGATCAAAGTTGTCCATGAACGCGAATGGGCCATAATCTAGTGAAAGGCCGTAGATGGAGGTATTGTCAGTGTTCAACACCCCGTTCATAAATCCATATGCTTGCCAAGCAGCAACGGTTTTAGCATTCCGTCGTGCAATTTCACGGTACAACCTTGCAAACCGATTCTCTTCCGAGCCTGGAGGCCCTTCAACTTGGTCCCAAGACACATGTCTGGGGGGGTTGTCTACAACTTCAGATGACTGACTCTGGTCCAACGGCAGCATAGCGGGTAAAGCCTCCCAGCCCTGGAACACCTCCTCGGCGATATACGTCGCCAAGTGTCTAATTAGTTCTCGGTCTCCTCGCGCCCGTAGGAGGTCAAATGTTCCGATCCTCAGCCACGATTCAGCAAATCGAGCAACTATAGCTCCGGGCTCAATGCGTTCGCGCAACACCTTCGACTGAGGCAATAGAGTTATAGACAAAGCTCGAGTGGTTGGAACACCAAGTGCAGAAAGGGCTTTACTCGCAGTTAGTCGAGGCTTCCCGATTAGGACATGCGGAAGCAATACCTTCTGATACTATGTATTCTCTGATACTAGAACGAAGCACAGCCTTTCCATCGGCGAAGCGGGAATAAGGAGTCCGCCCTGCACCTTTGAGTTGTAACTCATAGCGGGTACTTGTTTTCGGGTTTGTAGTTTCGAAGAGGCTGATTGCACGCTGGAAAACCAATCTTTTAAGCTCTATCAATGAAAATTCGCATCTAGAAGCAAGTACTTACTCCATCGCCGAGTTGCCCAGCCCACGAGCCGCTGCGAATTGTCAATGTCGAAGAGCAAAGATGTTTACTATCAAGAAACGTACAATTGCCATCCTTAAAGTTATTAGTGAATGCTCATCTCGGTCCAAGAGATTGATAGGTCTTCAACGTCTCTCACCTCCATAACATTGTGCCCAAGGATATATGCCACCCTCATTTTCATCCCAGTAAAAATCATTTCCCGCAACTAAAGCCTTGAACTTGGGGGAAAGCTCTTCACCGGGCTTTAGACCAAGGTCTTTCATGGCCTTTTGACTGACCCCCAGAAGTTCGCTCTCCTCCGCCGGCTCAGGTCTGACAAAGGTATATAGCGCACCTCTTACTAACCGTGGGCCGAGTGTCTCACGGGGAGCCCGATGTGACGCCTCAGGGGTCTCAAAAGCTGGGTCGGGAGGAAGCTTGGAAGTGAAGATATTGGATTTGGGGAGTTCGGCCAACGAAAGCCCTTCGTTGGTATCGGAGAGCTGCGACGCCATTTGGGTTAAGCGATTTCGACTGATCCGCGTTGGGTAGAGGGTACTGCGGGCCAACATATAACGGGCGCGGAGAAGGCCAGGATGAGCGACAAATAAGCCCATGGAAGACCTAAAACAGTGAGCGAGGGATATGTCAGGTATATACGGGCCCTCGACAAGCTACCTAGGCAAATAGGAAGACGGTTTTTACCGGGTTCTATAAGAATAATTTGACTATTACCCCAGTGTAGCTGTTAAGTTTAGTCTCTCACTTGATCAATTAGTTAGTTAGCCAACTAGTTACTCTGTATTTGCAGTTGACACGGGTCGTTTTAAGTAAGCCGGCGAGGCGAGACTGGGCTATGACATCATTCCCCTCAACCCGTTCCGCCTACCGATCCCGCATTTGACTGCCATTTGATGGACTACACGCTGATCAGTTATCAGATTGACTAACACAATGTCTATCAATGTAAATAGAATCTCGTCGTCGGACAATGATAGGGGGGGAGGGGGGAAGGGGGGAAGGGGGGGCGCGAGCGGAGGGTTCAGAGGTTCAGGACACGCGCAGCGCGGGATGAAGCTGGATGGCTTGTGGAGCCGGAGCTGATCCGATCAAGATCCTAATACATCATCCGTCCTGCACCCAATAATAAAACTTCGAAAGGTCTCCTTATCCCTTGCGAAAGGCTTAGTTTGGCTGTGTCCACGAACAACGGTATTACCACACCAGTCTAACTGATAGCAACTAAAATGGTCAGCACCATGAAATCTATGCCATCCGTCAGGTTGAACGACGGCACCTGTGTTCCTCAGGTAAGTTGTGGGAGCAGCAGACTTCATTTGCATTCCACCTGGCAATCAATCTAGTTACATCTGATAACGGAAGCAGCTTGGATATGGCTGCGGCACAGCTTGGTATAAGAAGGAAGGAGATACCAGTATTAATCGAGAGCTCGTTGAATCCATCAAAGATGCTATCCGACTGGGGTATCACCACCTTGATGGCGCCGAGACTTACAGGACTGAGCCTGAGCTTGGTCTTGCCATCAAGGAGAGCGGTGTGGAACGAGATAAGCTATTCGTAACCACTAAGGTGAGCGTAAATATCGCAGATATTCCAAGGGCAATCGACGCAAGTCTAGAAAAGCTTCAGCTCGATTACGTTGATCTGTAGGTATTCGTGCCCGGCAATATATCTCTACCGGCTTGAAGAACTTTTGTTTACTGCCAGATGCGAGGGCTAATGGGTGTTAAATATAGGTATCTAATTCACTCGCCTTTTTTTGGCAGCTCATATAGCGACCTTCAAACAGCCTGGGCTGCTATGGAGCAAGTGAAGGCCGCTGGAAAGGCACGGTCAATCGGCGTATCTAACTTCCTGCGGAGCCATTTGGAGGCTATCTTGGAAACGGCTACAGTTCCACCATCTATCAACCAGATCGAATTCCATCCCTATCTACAGCATGGCAATCTACTCGACTTTCATGAGAGCCAAGGTATCCAAACAGCCAGCTATGGGCCTTTGACTCCTATCATCCGGTCAAAAGGAGGACCAGTGGATGACCTGCTGCCACATCTGGCTAAAAAATATGCAGTCAGTGAAGGGGAGATTCTTCTGAGATGGTCTATAGACCGTGGCTGTATAACAATCACGACTAGTAGCAAGGAAGCCCGCTTAAGCAGCTATTTGCGCGCCTTAACCTTTCAGTTGACTCCTATGGAGATTGATGATATCTCCGCTGCCGGGCAGCAAAAGCATTTTAGGGCATTTTGGCAGGGAAAGTTCGCGTCAGACGATCGCTCGTGAATATGACCGGTCATATTTGTATAAAGTGTCAAGTTTAATCCTGCCTTTATAGTTGGATGAATTTAGATTCAAGCCTGGTGATTTCTGATAAACCGTCAAGCCAATGATATCTGAGGGATATTGCCTTATATGCGGGTTTACTTTGTGATGGCCAGATACTAGGACATATAGACCTGAGTCCCTTGTTGATCAAACTCCTCTGTCACTGCACATAGATAAGGACATAAGAACGAGCGCCGTGGAGCATGGCATGTGGTACGTAGTCGGAGAAGGCTGGTTGAGAAGTAAGAGCTCCAATCTTTGGAACTATGGCCCGGAGTATGGTGCCTAGTAGATAAGCGGAGGAGACCCGCTCTAGACTAATTATAAGCAAATCAATTACTGCCAAGCGTTTCCGCTTCGACCGCCAGCATCCCCAGTCGCGACTCAATCCCCTCCCCCCCCAAAAACCCACCCTCACTGTTGGACGGAAAGGCGATTTCATCTCCAGAGGAAGCTCCTCGGCGCTCTCCTTCCTTGCCGTCTATTCCTTGCTGCCACGCCCACGTCAACGTTAGCGAGCCAGAGGCTCTTGTCCTCTATCCTTATGGCCTCGAGCGTCTTATTCTAGCTCCGGCATACATTGGCTGTTTGTCGACGCCATTTCTGTACGACAGGTCGGGGCTGGTTCCTTATCGCGTTCCTCATTCCAGCCAATTTTGTGCAGCGTTTCCCGCCAGCTGATTTCAGCCCGGCTGGTTGTGGGTGAAGGCGCTTGTGTTGTTGAACGCTCGTTCATTCTGGTCTCTCCTAACGTCCCAGGTCGCAGTCTTTGGGGCAATCGGCAAAACCCAACGAGGAGCCCAGTCCGCTCGGATCCAGATCTAGACACGAAACAGAGTAAAAGAGGAAAACTTAAGAACAATAAGAAGGCGCGCTGGCAGTTCTTGGAAGGTGACTTCTCACACGGTTACTAGGTGGTCCCTGAACCCGTTCCTGGGAAGTGAGATGTTCTATGGTGCCGGCAATTGAACTCCACTTCGCGGAGCCACATGATACTGGGAGCTAGCGCCATTCAGGGAGGCCAAAAGAGAAGGAAAGAAGGAATACTTGGTATCAGCCTGTCAGAGTTGAAAAGAGCTTGCTCGCCGTCAGCCACGTAGGCTTTTGATCAACGGACTGCAATGTCGGGGGACCAGCCCTATCGCTCCGCGGATGATGAAATAAAAGACCCCAAGTTTGTTAACGAGCAAACACATAACTCCGATCAGTCCTCAATCGATCTACGATTGAAGCGGCTTAGGGAAGAAATTCTTCCGTTTTATCCCTTCCTTCTCACTGTTCCCACTGATGTGCCTTTCCGCCTGGGGAGTCGCTTTGTCAACAACTGGGCTGTGGGTAATGACGGGCCGTTTACGCCGGAGGAGCAACAACTACAATATATGACATTCCTTACACATCACGAAGGAGATTCCTTGCTAGTGGCTGTGGGTGACTGGTCTGACGCGACAGGAAACGTCATGTCCGATCAGCGTTCCGGAGCCCAGAGTGCTGCAAGCACACCATCGAACAACTCGGTGAAGAAGAAGATAAGTTTGAACGACTACAGGAACAGAAGGAAGAGTGGCGCCTCCGCTTCCCCTGTCGGCCCTGAAGTCGGTAACCAAAGCACCTCGGTCCTTAACACTCCCGATGCAAGTCAGCGAGCTGCTAGGGCTAGCCTTCCTAACAATGACTCGCAAAAGCCCGTGGGAAAGCCACCCGTCCAATCGCGAGCTTCGTCTAACCCGGGGGGCATCGAGCGCAAGCGCCCGTTTGTCGACGGCACCTCGGATTCATGGAGATCACAACATAAGGTCGCGGCCCCAAAGAAGCCGAGGATATCTCCAACTCCTGCAAAGACCGACCGGCTGAAGGGTAACGGCTTACCTGCTCTCCTGTCACCGACCCTTCCCCCAACTTCAAGCAGTCCAAGACTGCCTCGACTTCTGTCTCCTACCCTTCCTCCTGATATTGAGAGGGAATTAGCTGGACTAGGGGAAGGCCTCTTAGGCCTAGGATCATCACAAAGCGACGGCGCTTCGAATAATGATTCGTCATTGGGACCAAGAATTCAGAAGGCCAAATCTGCCGTTCACGCTTCGTCACAGCCCGACTCAGCACACTCTTCGAGCTTGCATAGCAGGCAATCATATCATGGAAATGACAAACGATGGCCCTCAAGCACGGATGTCTCAACTCTAGACGCTTCTCTGGCCTCGAAAAGTAATTCAAAGAACCATGTGGGGAATACGATGTCAAGATCAACCGGCTCGCCACCGGCTCTGCAGGATGCTTCGGCTAGAGCGCAATTAGTGGTGAAATTGAAATATGGAAGATCGAACAGGAAGCGAATTGAGGCTCTCCTGAAATTTTCTGGCAAAAAAAAACCGGCCCCGCCAGGGTCACCCGTGAAGAATGCGCTAGACGTTGAGCCCTCCCAGACTCAGAAAGCCAGGCAGGCGGCAGCGAAAGCTCCAGCGTCGGAACATCCCGACCACAACAAGTCACAACGGTTGGAAGGGAAAGGGAAGCATACGGGCACCATTCCCGTCACTCGGGAACACTCAAAATTCCCCGAAAAGCCCCAAACACCTATGTCTCTCTCCTCAAATCTGGCAGTATATCAAACAGACAAATCGAAACCTAGTTCAACCACGCCAGTTAAAGACACCAAGTCTTCTTTCAACCGGCTTGATCCATTTAGCGGCAACGACGGAAAGCCGTCTTCGCACCCAGCCGTCAAGCGCCCCGGTACTTCGGCCACTCCTACAAAAGTTGCATCTCCGCAATCGAGTCATACGGCATCCCGTCAATGCGACCGTCGAGCTTGGAAAGATGAGTATCAAAAATATTCAAATCTGGGACGGGATCTAAAGCACGCTGCGGAGCGACACACAGCCAAAGATCACGTAACTACCGTTGATGAAAAGCTCGCGGCCGCTACAGCAATTGAGGCTATTCTTTGCTTCATCGTGGCATTTGTTGCCGATGATCAGTCTAAAGCACTATCCCGGCAAACTGCAGATTCGTCTTCCTGGCTATCTATTCTCGCATATTGGCGTGTTGTGAAGAAGAACAGCACTCCCTATCCGCGCCTACATAGCCTCTGCCTCATACTTGGTGCTGTCTCTTATGATGCCATTCACGCACTTGATCTTGAGCGGCTTGCTGCCACACCTCTGCCTGGGGAGAACACACCAGTGCCCACTCCAGGAAGCGATGAAAATGCTGCTCCGTCAGATGACCATAGAAAGAACCGGAAAGAGTTTGTGGAGCTGAAGAATCGACCGCACGAGTGCTATAGGGAATCCCAGAAATTATGGCTTGAAGGCTCACGTGGTCTTTGCGAAGATGTGCTTTCGCGTGAGTTTCCAAGTACCTGGTCTAAACGATCCAAGAATTTCTCGGAGTTGGGAAGGCAACGCTTGAAAGCTGGCGACTATTCTGGCGAATTTTTTTTGCCAGTTGGACGGACCAACGCCCCCCTTGAGGTAGTTCGGTTCAGTCACGCATTTCTGAGTGAGTGGTGCGTCAAGGAAGGTGTGGGATGGAACAGCCGACTCAAGCTGTAAATGCGACGAATTAATCCAGGCGTTATGCTATGTCGTTCGTGTCACAATCTCTGGTCCATTGCAATGACTTTCAGTTGGCGTTTGTGGCAGCAGGCGTGTACAGGGAATATATTTTGCCTGCTGTTATTATTACATGATACCACGGGTTGTATGTGCTTATGCTTAAGAGGAGGCAAACATTCATCTTTTATTTATCTCCAACGTAGGTCGGGGGAATATGTTGGGGGTGCACGAATTGAATCGATTGCATGCTATATCATCTCGCGTACATCCATGCCATTCAAACTTAGAAGTTGAGACCCGGGCACTTGGGCCTGTAGGTTAATACGCCAAGGAATGGAAAAGAGTCAAATAAAATAGAGGGTCTAATAACGATCTAGATACGATACCTGGCATAAGTCGTTCATTTAGCAGATGTCTCCCGTAGACATAGTGATAAGGAATAAACACAATCGCTAAGCCGAAACCTCTCAAAATCCCCGAAGCGCAAAACCAACATCAGATTTCAAGTCATCGAAAATCCTATCGAGCTCAGCATCGACAGGGCGGCGAGTACTAAGCGGTAGATGTTCTCTCAATGAGTATCTTACCTTCGCTTCATGGTCGCACAGGTACCTGCTAAGAAGTAATAACTCATGCATCCTCAAAGCGCGTATTCCTGGAAACAGAACCAGACTCTTGGCCGAAGAGCCAGCCAGCTTCCCGACAGTACCTTGCCTCTCGCCCGTAGGCTCCAACTTCGCTACTCCAACAAATGATTGATGCATCGACAATATCTGCAATCACACCTTCAATTGCTCCCAACACACTCCAACCAATCGTCCCAGCAATGAACCCAACCATATAGGCATACATGCTTCCACGGATTGAACCGTTGGTACCCATCACACTTAGGCTCCGGGCAGTGCTCACCCAGCCACCAAACCCAAGCGCAAGAGACATCATGAGACGAGCAGCATGCAGGATGAGCTTGGAAAGTCGGTAAGGGAGAAGAGCTCCAGAATGCTCACGAGACCAAGAGAACGACCGTGGGTGTAAAGAAGTCGTCGCTATGGAGGGCGTCAGGTTTGTCATCTGCACCAGGCCACGAGCGGACACTGTAAGCGGCTGGGAATGAATGGAAGCATATGTGAGGGTAAGAGGGTCCGTAAGGGCAGTTATAGGAGTTGGGACAAACGAATAGGCGCAGAAACTCAAAAGGGAGGCGATGCGACCGGGAAGCAACAAAAGCGGGACGCGGATCATTAAAGCCAGGAGGCTCGATAGGCAAATTGTACCAAAAAGGGTTGTAACGGAGTGCAGAGTTGCGGCCTGGACTATTTGCCTGGACGTCGGCGCCGGCATCGTATAGCGGTGAAAATACCACTGGCTCACGGCGGCAGCTGTGACTGTACGTCGAATACCAGCGATGACTCCCAGTGACCATGCGTAAACGAGCACATAGTAGACTCCTAAGCACCAGCTGCTTGAATCGACAACAAAAAGGCTGGACCGAGAAAGATGACCTTCCAAAAACACTCGCGTAAATATGAGCATCCATAGCCAGGTCCATAAGACAATGAGAACGAGGGCACCAAGCCCCAAAGCTAGAAGCTCTGGATTCACGGCGAGGATGCGGCATGCAAATTCGAGTATGTCGACGGCCCTCCCTATAGCGTGGCGACCTCGAACGACATTATAAATCCATGCACTGGCCAAAACAAACGGAACAATAGACCCGCATCTCATGACTTTGTCCTGAACACTCGATCCGTGCCACGTACCTCCAAAACTCGAGATAAAGGGGTAGAGAAAGAAGGAATACAGGATTATGGGAACGGCGATGATGACAGCGTAGACCAATGGACGTACGTAGGAACGTAATAATGCCAGCCAGAGCAGAGATATGAATATCGACGCGACAGTATAGGTACCCAGCAGGTAAAATGAACTGTGGATGGTCAAGTAGACCGTGTCACCCCATTTCGACTTGTCACCAGAAGGAGGTGAAGTGTGGAGGTAGACAAGAAATGACGTAGCGAAGAGAGAGGCCACGGATATGAGAAATAACTGACCCCAGAAGGCATCATGAGTTGGAGAGCTAGCGCCTATCGGTGGAGTCGACATTCGGTATGGCCGTGACATGCCTGGCGGTTGGGATGTTTCTGGCAATACTGCGTTATCTGAATCTATAGGCAAGAGGACTGAGTCTATTCCGAGATTGCCCGTTCGTGACTGTGGCTGCTCTCGAAACCGTTGAATGGAGGGCGGTTTATCATCACCAAATACGGGAGAGTCAGCCCGGTCGCGGCCAACATCGGATGCCAGTGTATCTTCCAGTTGAACGTCAACTAGGTTTCCCCTGAGCCTGCTTCTGTTTCGCTCTGCTTGAACCGAATCTCCCGTTCCGCGTGGCTCCCCGTCGTATTCAGCACGCAACTCTTGCGCTCTGTCGCTAGTTTCGGCGTCGCGCCAGGAGCTCCAAATGCCCTTCCCCCTAGTATAGGGAGGCTTTTGTTCCTTCGAGCTGGCAGAGTCGTTATCATCGCCAATCTCTGAAGACTCCCTAAGGTAGCTGCTCCCAAATTGACGCCGTGATTTTTGTAAGGCATAGAAGTCGGCAATCTCTCGCTCATGCTCAACCTCATCATCCTCCTCTCGAAATTCGTCAGTAGCGCTGTAGAAGAGAGGCGCAGGCTGAGACACAACCCTCGAACTAAAAGGGAAGCTTGATAGTTGAGAACCGGCAGGTTGATATGGGTCGGCCGCATTCCTGTGGAAGAATGAGCGCGAGGAGGGCAAAAGAGAATTCCGAGGTTGTTGCAAGAGACGTTCATGTCCCTTTCTTCGGGGGTCTTCTGGATGGTTCACAACCCGTGACTGGGACTGTGCGAGGAAACGGGAGGCATCTGGGCAGACAGTGAGCGATGAAAAGCTTGGTCAATTTATAAGAGACGGACAGCAGAGTGATAATCATACATTCGGAGAACATGTCTAACCTGGTTCTCTATCTTCGTTCTCTTCTCTTTGACACCTTGGCCCTTGACCAATGAGCCGCTAAACTTCTTATACTCAAATCACTGGTTGTCCAGATTATGGCAGACGAAGCGGTGTGAGCGGTATAAGCCCGATGCAGTTGAAATTCAGTCGGAGTGGGAATCGAAGGACTACATAGCAAAGAAGCCAGATGGGACAGGGTTATCCATCAAGAAGAAAATAGATGACGGATTGGGATATAAACTGCAGGAAGAGTTCAGACAGGCAGAATGCGTACGAAGGAAGTAGTTTTCCCTTGCGATCAGTAGGTGAGGTTGCAAGCGTCATCAGGCAAGGTCATGATGATAGATGACTCAGCATCCATGCCATTCGTCTTGGTTGGTTTAACTTGCTTGGACTGCAGAATGCGCCCAGTACGAATGTTCTCGGTGTGCGGAGCAGGAAACTGGAGTACTTCAGACCATGCCCCAAAAACAAGGGGTTGGGTTGGAATCTTCCTTGCAGTCAATATATGTGTGGCTTGACCATACAAGTCGGTAGCTTAGATAGATAACTAGTAATAGTACTTTGGAGAACTAGATAGCACTAAAGTATGGTAGCTACTTAACCAGTGGATAGTCAGAATGGCCATCATTACATAACAGCTACCTGCTCTGTACCCAGCATTCCTCGGCAGCTCCACTATAGCTTGGTTGGCTTACCGAGCGAAAGTTATCTACTGGCTACTCCAGACTGGCTATCAATTCCGTCCTATCTTATCCCGTACTATCTAGTAGGTTGGAATCCAGCGTTATACCCGACTGAGTTTAGTAAGGCTGAACGTAAAAAGAGAATCTCTCCCCGTGCTGCGCACCAAGAAGCTTACGGAGTACTCAGCATCATTATCATACGATTATCTCACCATAGGCCGACCGAGCACAGGTTGGTACATCCTTTCTATTTCTCAAGGCGAGTTTCCGTTCTATTTTGGGCGCCATCTTCCAGCAGTTGATTTTTTTTGGGAGCATGACTCCTACAGACCTCTAAAGTCCACCGGCATCGATCGACCGAACGAATATTCACTTAACGTCTCAAGTGCCGGCAAAAGCGACATTCCTCTGCTGTATCCATGTCACAGCCATGGGATTATATTGCTAAACTTGTCTGCATTGGGGACTCGGGGACTGGGAAGTCCAGTGTGGGTACACTCAAGCTTGACAGACCATCTTACTGCTGACACACGGCTGCGACTTTCTAGTTGACGATCCGACTTTGCGAAGGGCGCTTTTCGTCCTCCCATGATGTTACAATCGGTGTCGAGTTCGGTTCGCGGATTGTTCCGGTGGGCCCGCCAGCTTCAAAGGCCTTGGGAGGCGAGTTCGACGGTTCTATCCGCAATCGTGCCCCTTCAATTACACCTTCGCCCTTATTGCCCGCTACGGCTACAACCAGCGAATCAGTCGCTTCTGGACTGCCCAGTCCTCCACGTAGGGTACAAGAGCTCCAGAAAAGAATGAAGTTGTCGCTATGGGACACCGCTGGCCAAGAAACGTACAAATCTATTACCCGCTCTTATTTCCGTGGTGCTTCGGGTGCCCTCCTGGTCTTCGATATTACTAGGCCTTCTACATTTGTATCGTGCACACAGTGGCTTCATGATCTGCGGCAAATTGCAGAAGACGGCATCGTAATTGTTCTGGTCGGCAACAAGAGTGATCTTGCCGGTGATGACTCGAGATCGCATCAGACGGTCACTAGGCAAGAAGCGGAGGAGTGGTGCCGTTTGAATAACATCACACGGTATGTTGAGACAAGCGCAAAATCTGGAGAGAACGTGGAGCGTGCTTTTCTTGAGGTGGCTGAGATGATATATCGCAACATCGAAGCTGGCAAATATGACCTCTACGACCGTCGAAGTGGTGTGAAGGGCTATGGTGCCACCGGCGGATCAAACCCGGGTATCCCAAACACTGTCACTTTAGGCTTGGATGATGCCATGCGCAAGGGTGGAAGTGGCCTGGGAGGAGGCTGTTGTTGATACATACAGAATATTATACCTTCTATCGAGCTTATTGTTCAAAGGTGGAACGGAACCATATCTTGTGCGAACATGTAATAGTCCTTATAGTCGCCCTTGCGGAAGTATGGTTCTATGAAAATATAGAATAGCCTCGGATTTCGCCCATAAATCTCTAGGTGACCTTAGATCATATACATCTCGAATTAATGAGAATCAAGGCAGTTGGTACAGAAGTATGAAGCAATAAATACTAATTGCTACAAAAGGGCAGAGGGGCATATACTAAAACCTGAAATCCTGCCAGTCATAACATCTTACATCTGACTATAGAGAAGACAGTCCACAAGCCAATAGTAGCAGACACAAGTATGGTATTGCATATGAGGTACAGCGATGACGAGAAGCGTCATAGGTAATCAGGTGTTGACGATACGGGTTATGATTATGGTGATGGTGGTGGTGGTGGTGGTGAGGTGGGGCAGCTCAGTTGGCTATCCGCCAGCCATTGAACCAGTTCAGATGAGACCACTGCTGACTGGGCCCTTCAATACCAAACACAATAGCTCGGAAGTATGCAAACAAGCTAATGATCGCGCAGTAAAGCAAGGTATAGATCGCCCAACGTAGCTTGTTGCTCATCCGTTGTGTGAACCAGTCAACACAAAATCCGAATGTGAGTATGGCATAGTAGAGTGCCGGATAGTAATGGTGGACGTAAGTCACTCGTGCCATGACCGCAAATGGTAGATAATGCAACACCCATCCAATGACTGGGTATAGACCGGAATAGTGGATGTGGTCAATATCCGCTTGGGTAAGTTCAGTATATCCTCGCTGCCAACGCACGAGATACCAGAGAACCAGAAGCGCAAATACTCCAAGGCTCAAAGTACTCCCCCAATAGACGAAAGGGTTTCCGAGAAGGTAGTACTTGATGGTATTGTCATCCCAGGAGCACATACGGAGGCCCACATTGAGTATAGGCCATTGCCAGAACTTGGAGGCGAGGTCATCTTGCTTGTCCGGATCGGGGACAAGAGCATTGTTTGACGTCATCATAGCGACATTCAAATGAATAAAATCTTTCCAGAACGGAGACTTGTAGGATCCGGGGTCGCCTGGTGGAACTAGGTACAAAATCAATACTCGATCCCACGATTTGGACGGCATAGGTCAGGAATAGGGGTGAACTTACGCCTTTCGTTGTAATGTGACTCGACATTCCAATGAGTATAGACATCACTGGGCTTATTCTCCTTCACGCATGTTGTCTCAATCTGTTTGAAGCCCCATTGGGGCAGGTTTACATTTCCTGCACGCAGGTAACAGCCCAGGACAGGATGTCTCAGGCGAAATGCAGTAGTAAGTGTCCGAATCTTGCTCCTGTCCCTGGATGCAACATCATCAACGACTTCAACCGCCCAGTGATCTTTGTCATCGCCAATGGTAATGTTGCCATAACACGAGACTTCAAATTGGCTCTTAGTAACGGGTGCAGATATAGCATGTGAATGTAAATTCCGACCCGTCTGCCCATGAATGAGACGGATGATGTCCCCGTCACCAACGAATCTTAAAGAGCCCTCGGGGTCATAGTCCGGCTCATACCTATTGGGGTAGATAAACCAGTCGTTATTGGAATCCTTATGGTGATAGCACGTCACCTGTTGTTGTGTTGACCCTTCAGGATACGTTTGGATATGCGAATGGAGAAGTCCGCCACCATACCCCATGTTCTTCAGTGTCACCCTCGATCCCAGTGCAATCTCAAGAGGACTATCCTTCCCGACCTCAGTGCCCTTCAAGTTTGCCTGAAAAAGTGAGCTCATCTGGGCATCTCCTGGACCACTATTCTCGAGAATCCAGAAATGAACATAGAAAGACAAAATGTAGACAATGCAGGGCACTATTATTAGGCCCACTATGCGAGCAACTAGATGTTTCGCTACCACAACCTGCCGAGCATTAACCAATGAGCTAAAGCTGTTTACATTCCTGTAAGCCGCTTACCTCAGGCATTTTAAGGTCACCAAACTTGTTCCATAGGTCTTCAACGGTATAAAGGCCCACAATAGCGGTGCAGAAGAAGCCCACCCATTTGACACTGCAGACACAGCCGATGCTCACGCCGGTGAGAAATAGCCACGCGAACCATTCGGCCGAAAAGCTAGCATTCTGCAGTCGATGAAATTTGGCCCAACATAATGTGGTTGTAAACGTGAAGCATAGTAGCATGGAATCAAGGAGAATAAACCTTGAGATGGTGGCATACGAGTTCTCGAATAGCACCATCAGACTGATAAGCCAGACAGTAGCCTTGCGAAAACCCAGCTCCCGTGCGGTATAGTAAGCAAGAGGGACACATACCGCGCCGAAAGCCGCATTGAAAATACGCATGAACGTATAGTTGACGTCTTCGGGATACTTCTCACCGGATTTGAATTCGAACGAGCCATTATAGCCAGCAAGGAAACCCGACAAGCCAACTAGCATCTTTCCCAGTGGTGGGTGTACGTCAAAATAAAATTCGCGCTTCAGATAGTGTGAACCGAATTTTCCAAAGCTGCGTATTATTACCAACCAATACATTAGCACTCTGCACTGACAAATTAAGAAAGGATTCATGCACTTACTGTGCCTCATCCCATGTCACGATATCTGAACGACCAATATGATACATGCGGGTGAAGATTGCCAGAGCAGTCAGGAAGAGAGGTGCAAATATAGGCTCCCAGCTTGCCACAGCAGAACAAAAAGAGGTAGGCTAAGACATGCGTCAATATTATCGGGTATCAAGTGCAGTAAACCTTTATAAAGCTTCAGGCTAAGGCGAGCATCATACCTCTTGCTTCAATTTCTTGGCATCATATGCATCATGATCAGGAGCACGACTGAGCTCCTGCGTGAGAGGGGCAGTTCTGCGCCGCACTTCAGAGGAGAGATCAACCCCAGAGCTTGATGCCTGGCTTACTCCCACCATATTTGATGTATAATGAACAGATAAACAAATGCAGGGACAAGGAGTGGCGGAAGAGAAAGCAAGTATACAGTATCAGACTGCCGCAGGAAGCTGGTTGAATGTAGAGCAGCTCGCTGGGATTGACTTTAGGTGTGAGTTGCAAACATTTCTTATAAAAAAATCAAAATGCTTGGTCTAGCAGGCAGTACTCCAGCTTTTTCTGGGGGCTGGAGAGAGGAAAGAAAGAAAAAGAGAGGGGTGGATGAGAAGGTACCTTGAGAACACAAGGCAAAAGTATGGAGGGGAAATCAGGATAGATTGAGAACACACCGCTTCACCAGGGTCAAATGGGTAAAGAATGGAATTTTTGTTGAATTGATAAGGAAAATCTGAGAATTGGAGGTAATGAAAGGGAAGAATAGAAAGATTGAAAGCCAAAGAAAAGGGGTTAAGGGTTGAGTGTGGGAAAGAAAGTCAGCCTCTCGAAGGGTTCCCTACTCAGAATGTAAGACGGAGTGGAAGCGCAAATGGCGAGTTGGCCTGGAGATAACACGGAAAGCTCGGGCGCGTGGCCTGAAAGCTCCGTTCCGCCTGGGCCACTTCTGGAACCTCGACTGCGTCCTCCGTCTTGTTCGTCGGCAGTGACGGCGAATTACTGAGAGAGGTATAGCGTGTCTAATGGGGGCAGACATGTCACTACCGCTTGATGGCATCATATAGTAGTCTAGTTGTGTGCATGTGTGAGAGACCACAGGTATCATGAAAGATGTCCTGATTTTGGTGTGGCCAAACTTCCCACCCTTGGACAAAATTTTGGTCCCAGATGCTTTGAAGTGTCTTCTTTACTGTTGAACTAATTCTTCATGTTACCACACTTAGCCGAGCTTGATTATTGTAGTGACTCATCAGCCCTCGCTGTCTGGACACGATATAAATATATTATAGAAATGCGATGCAGAATTTGAAATTTCCGTAATCTGGTGACTCCAGCTTTAGCTGCTGTTCTTTGAAAGTCATTTTCCGAGAGCAAGATTTCAAGCTGAATTGAGCATCAGCATCATTGTCACCTAGAACAGGCATCTAACGGCAGTATCAGATATGTACCATGAGTTGATGAAGTTTGGCTCTTGAGGTTTTGCGAAAGACTGGGGAAGCGGAAGCCCCTTTGTGATGTACTAGTCTGTCAAATCTGACGCTATTATGCAACGCACAGATTGTGGGGAACGAACTGGTTGAGCGCGTATTTACCTCACTGGCTGTTAGATTATTTTTTCCTGTTATAAAATAAAAAGGTAATACAGGTTCATAGGTTCTCGATCCATAGGGGGGGAAGCGTAGGGAAGGCGGCGTAAACTGCCTGCTGATTTAGCTTCGGGGAATGAGATGCTTGGCTGAGGTGTAGGTATGGACAATTTGTCCATACAACTACGTACGGGAATTTGTGAATGGGTCAGGGTATAGATTGATAATAACTGATCTTGCACAAAATTGTGTATACGCTCAAGGGTCATAAACCCAAACCTAGACGAATAAACTATACGTTATTACTAGGAGAGGCGGGGTGCTATGTTTCACATCGGGACATGAGTGTGTCATGGTTAGCTTCTCATGTATCTAGGTCGGCATGAGACCTGTGAAAGCATGGATTTTGTATTGTGATTATCGTTAGTACTATGATATGCAAGAGGGCCAAGGACCGATTTCTCTCTAATGGTTTATTATCCCTCAATCCCATTGCTTCCACATCATCGGACGGTGGTGGTATATCATGTAAGTCAGAGATATATCTCTGAGCTTGAAAGGCTCTAAGAAGACATGTTCCTGATATACTGAGGCTTCGAGTTGAAAGTTGTACGCGGATTCTCATTTCGGAAGTCACGGAATGAGATTTTGGGTGATACGAGCCTCACGCTTCGTACCAATTCAGGAGATGTCATATTTCTAAAACCTATTCTGGGAGCATGGTATACGTCTTGGTATATAATTATATGCATACATAATAATGTTAGAAAGTGAAAACGGTGCAGTAGATCGAAATAGGGTCTCGACGAGATCAGCATCTGCGAGACCGGTGTCGGGAATACCCTAGTGCCAGTCCACTAAAAAGAGAAAAAAAGAGTTAAGTCGGTGTACATATGGAATAATAAAAGGAGATAACAAGGGTAGAAGAGGTAGGTACAGCAACAGGATGTATATATATCTGTTACATGAGACTGGACCATACGCGGTAGCCCTACTCATTCTCCTCTTGCCCGAGACGTCTATACTGTCCGCCCTGCCCTGTTGATTCCG